ACCACTCCGGACCATTGCATACCCGACATGACTTCTGCACACATTAGACAATAATAATGTTATAATGTTTACAATATTCATGTACCACAAACAATAATTGCAGTTTAAGCATATATAGACCAACATATACGTAGTCTTACGACTCGCGAGTAATAAAATTACATTGTACCTAATAACGTGCCACCACGAGTTCGCGTCCGAAGTGCTAAGGCCGGATTTAACGAAGAGAAACGTACGCGGCACTTGAGCGGAAATTATTGCTCCTTCGTCCCCCCGGGGAATTTTTCCAGTTCAAAAGGGTAGTCGTTTTGTTCGGTGTAAACGGCGTACCATGATAACATTATTATGTATATAGACGTACAGATTTAATGTTTTAAAACAATAATCATCGCATATTGCTGCAGCAGCAGGTCCGTAGGGGCCTGAGGGCCCGAGCTTAATGTATAGATATATTATATGATATACCTACCTTCATCATACGCACGTTGTACTATCACTATTGAATATCAAGAACATTATTGACTATTGTCTGTAATATATATTAATATATAATATATCGTATTCTTTAGTTTTTCGAGAAACATCACTGTTTATTATAAAATTAACATAATATTTTACATTTTAGGAATTTAACGTAAATACCGTGGGTTATCAACCTCCTGTAAGCACAAGGTTGTGTTGGAAGTTGCAGTAAGTCGTAGTGCGTATATGGGTTACCTTAACATGTATGTATACTATAATTTAAAAAATCGACAGTTAAACATGAATTATTTAAATAATACATAAATAAATAAATAATTAATTATATATGCATTAAACAATTGTAAGGATGRTGTAAAAATCACATGGAAAAATATAAGTCGTATAGGTACTGCAAGAAGTAAACATAAAACGTAATCTATATCTATATATAGATATATAAAGAGACTTATCATGGGTGATTCATCAACGCCCAGACCAAACCGCTGGGTCTAGAGACTTGRAATTTTGTACAGAGGKTCCTTAAGCAAWGTAGAAGCGCACTAAAAAAGGATTTTTCAAAATTCACATTTTAAAGGGTTGCTCAAACGGGGG